CGTCGTCGTCGTCGTCGTCGTCGTCGTCGAGTCGTCGTCGTCGTCGTCGTCGTCGTCGTCGTCGTCGTCGTCGTCGTCGTCGTCGTCGTCGTCGTCGTCGTCGTCGTCGTCGTCGTCGTCGTCGTAGTAGTAGTAGTAGTAGTAGTAGTAGTAGTAATCGTGGTAATAGTCGTTGCCTTCGGATAGGTATGTGGGATTTCTCGGACGCGTACTTCGGCTCCACGGCCCAATCACGGGCCCCGACAAACGAAACCGAGGATACAACGACAATTTGACCGAACGCGTCGTCGAGTATGTATGCAATGTCCAGTTCGGTTTTCGTACCAGGCGGTCAAAAGAGGATGCGGTGTTGATATGCCGCTTGCTGTCCGAGATGGCGGCCTCGTCCGCGGCGCACGCTCGCGAGCTGAAGGCCGAGGCGGCCAAGCTGAGCGCGGAGGCCGAGTCGCGCAAGGTTGCTGTTGCCGTGGGGCTCCTCCAGTCTCTCCGGGCCATCTGGGCGCTGGTTGACATCGAGCAGGCTTATCCCAATGTCCCGAGAGATCATTTTTGGGAAACCCTCCGCGCCGCAGGAGTTTTTTAAATGATGCTTGCGATTGTTCGTCGGCTACACTGCAGTACGGTGTACTAGGTGCGCACGAACGTCGAAGACTCGGAGGTGTAGGGGCTCGCCCGGGGCCTGCGCGAAGGCTGCCCGTCGTCGTGCCCAGTTTATTCTCTGTTTCATGAACAGTCCCTGTCAGAAGTCTTGCAAGGCGTCGGCGTCGGGCGGCGCCTGGGCAAAGCTTTCGCTCGTGTCGAGGAGGTTGGTGCGCCCTTGGAATATTTTCGGATTGCTTTGCTGGGCTTCGCCGGCGATGCTACTGCGGTGAGCCTAACATTGACGTTGGGGCGTATTGAGACGCTGCTTCGGGATCGGGGAGCGCGTCCACCCGGGCAAAACCGAGCGGCTGCGCACGGGGCTGCCCGAGGAGATCGCGCGATCCGTATTTCGTCGGCAGCAGGCGCACGTGTGGCCGGAAGTCTTCTCCTCCTCCACTTCCCATTGCAATCCGCTTCCACGAGAGCGTCAAGTTGCCGGGGGCCTGTGTCGACATGGGCGGATGGGGGGCCAGCGCGACGCGATAGAGCGCCTCCGAGCAGCGGGGAAGGTGTGGGGAAAGTTGAAGAGGCCGTTTCTCCGCCTGAAGCTGCCGTTGCGTGTTGTGGGCCAGGTTGGAAACAACGGTCATTTCTTGCCTGCTGTGCGGCTCGGAGTGCCGTGCTTTTTCTCAGCGGAACAGTTGGGGGGTTCCAGTCTTTCATGAATGATCTTGCTCGGTGCCTTGTTTGGCCGGTCGCCGAGATGGGCCTGCGAGCCATTGAAGGCGCTGCCGCAATGGAGGATTTGAGGCAACAGATCGCCCTGATATTTGTTCGAATATGCGCGGGCCAGACATATGCCATACTTCGGCCACCTGGGCAGGTGCGAGGGCGGCCGCGTCGAGACGGGGCCCCTGCCGGCTGGCCTGGGCGTTTCAGGCGCAGACGGGGTGCGTGACGTAACTGGGGGTTTGAGGATTCGAAGCGCGCGCTGGGTCCACATCTGCCGCGTCGCGACGCGCGCCGACGCCCCGAAGGG